TATATATGTATGTATGTATGTATATATATATATATATATATATATATATATAACACATTCGATAGGGTGGTATATCCACACTTCAATATTCGACTTAGTGATGAGATATGACTATGCCTGAAGTTATGCATTAACACGCGCCCGGATGCCCTTCGCTCGGGTGGGGGTCAATTTGACCCGGCTGAGATCTCGGGAACTAAGGAAGCTAGAGATACCAAATTTACAGGGTGTCTTGACCTGCACGTGAACTCACTTAGGTCAAGGTTTGAGCTTCCTACGTCATGGCATTCAGGTCAAATACAGTCAAACAAGGTCAAATTCCAGGTTGGTCTCTGAAGTGCCCCCAAGAACCTAGGCAACTGTTTCTAAGCAAAAGGTCAAAAGCCCATTTGAGGCCAGTGACCTTGTTTGACCTTTTGAAGGGCATGGTGACTAAAATCACACAAGACTGCTCTGAGTTTTGCATTTGAACAAGCGACAAAGATTGCGCTAGGCAGTATGTTTCTAAAAGCAAAATGCCGACCCGTGTCATCTTAGGTCAATAGCCTTTTCTGGCCTCCAAGAAGTCAGTGGAAGATGTATAATGCGGTTCCTGCTGTTAATAAACTCGAAATGAGCACCACAAACTATCCCATACAGCAAGCCCTAGAGTAATAAATCAGGCTGGTTGGGGCCTTGGCCTGACCTTCATACCTGGCCTTAGGTCAAAGTACTTTACTCATCCAATATTTGTGGTGCCTAAGAAAGCATCTCAGAGATGTATGGCTTCGTCAAGCACTCCGCTATTGTATCAAGTTGGACAATTACTTAGAATTTGCCTTCGCTGAGACCATGGCCTGACTTTGATCTGCCATAGACCAGCGACCTTAGAAGGTACATCTTAATTTTTGATGTTACACCATCCGCTATTCCATTGACTACAGCTATGCAAAATTTGGCGCGGCTGCGCGCGCCGTTCGGAAACCATTCTGGAAAAACCTTCGGTGGAGGGGGGGGGGGGTTAATTTGACCCCCTCCCACCCAAGCGCGTGTTGAGTAGGTAAACTGGCAAGTAAAGCTCAAACACAGACCATGATGGCTTCTAGCATGCCATTAGCACATCGTCTTGCCTGAAGCAATGCATCTTAAGCTATAAATAAGCCTCCAATAGAGCTGTGCTCCGGCCCCGATCAGATACCTGAAATATTAATTTCGGGACAACAGTTTAGCTTACGTGATGCTTATCGCCCACAGTAACCATTCGCCTGCGGGATTCCAGTGCGGCTGTATCCGCTTGGGCTGCACATCTCAGGCTGGTTGACGACAGGATATCACTTGAACGAAACGCAGGTCTTAAGCCCGCCTTCTCGCGAGAGCAAACCGACGGCGGTCCACCGAGAGACGACATCTCAGGCTGGTTGACGACAGGATATCACTTGAACGAAACGCAGGTCTTAAGCCCGCCTTCTCGCGAGAGCAAACCGACGGCGGTCCACCGAGAGACGACATCTCAGGCTGGTTGACGACAGGATATCACTTGAACGAAACGCAGGTCTTAAGCCCGCCTTCTCGCGAGAGCAAACCGACGGCGGTCCACCGAGAGACGCGGTTGCATGGAAATTTCCCCCAAATCCCAAATTCTTATGAAAAATCATGATGCTTTCAAGGCCTACGGCCAGTTTAGGGACCCTCTAATGCTCTTGGATTCATTTATGTTCTTAGCGTCCTAGTGCGCTCAAACCTGAGTGATTGTCTCGGAAACCTTTGGCATCCTCAAATCCCCTGACAATTTCAGATCATACGCCTCCCCTGGGCTCTTGCCTTCAACAAGATCCCTTCACTGCAGAGAGATAATTTCGGCACTGCGTTGCCGATTGCCAGAACAATGCCGGCAATACTGGAGCAATAACTGAGCTGGCAATGCGGGGGCCTTCCCGGTACCAGCCACTACAAACTACCAGGAAATACTCGGCTTGTGTTGAGTGCATTGCAAGCCGGCATCAACGCCGGCACCTTGCTGGATGTAGGACGGCACACATGGGCTCACGACGCCAGGCTTCAGGTACCTTTACCCTTAATTCCCGCATTCACTAACTTGACATAACCTACTAATGACCGTCCAGGGATCCCTCGCTATCTTTAGGCTCGTTGGCCTCTGCACCATATCGAGTCGTGTGTGCATCGCCGAAGCGCACAAATGCTCGAATGAGCAGGCGTAGCCTGGAGTCTGCAGCTCGCCACAACCAACATGTGCTGCTCAGGATAAGCATCACATCCCATCCATGCCAAATAAGTACCACTTTTAAAAATGTACATTTGTATAGAGCACATGCTTACCCAGTATGAAACAGCATGGTGGCGTGAAGTCCAACCACCTCTATTGCCTTCAGAGGGAATTCGAGTGATTCCACCCTGTCTGTGTGATCAGCGTTTGTTCGGTAGTCCCCATGCGGGTCGCTCGCCCGTACCGACTGCGCTGAGCGCGCCCCTGCGCGAGGCTCGCTCCCAGTGTCCTGTGTATGAAGTCTGTGAGTGGTCGGACGGCCCCCGGCCTCAGCCGCCCGGGCAGACCAACGCCGCCGGTATTTACGACGTACAAATATTGCGTACGAGACACCCATTTCATCTGTTCTGCCGAGGCCCTAAACTTTGAACTGCGCGGTACAACTCAGCGAGAAAGTTAATAGCTTCTGCAGTGTGTTATCAACGTCACAAGCAGTTCATATTGGAGATTAAGTTTCTGCCGAACACTGGCCGTCTAGCACTGACCTCGCCTGGTAACACATGCTTGCAAGGCAAACGCGGCTTCCAGCCTCCATTTTTGTTGCAGATAAACCTGGCCATATCAGCCCAACGCCTCACCTGGGCTGACCAGACGGCTGGCGAGGGCCTGGACCGGGCTAGGCTGGCGTAGGCCTGGGATGGGCTGGGTTGGCGTGGGCCCAATCATCAATTGCAGGGAGTCAAGACGAAATTGATGACCGCAACATTGACTGTTTGTGGCGTGATGTATTTGTGGAAGCTATTAAGTCTTCTACTGAGTTGCACAAACACAGCTTAAATAATGGAGTATCGATGACAACGGAGGCGAAAATGAGTTCATCCGGACATCTGAACAAATATCGATACCCTACATGTCGACAGGCAAAATATGGAACCCGCTATACAAAATATCGACACTGAAAAATATTAACAGACAAAGCACCGATTCCGCTGTGTTAGCACGCAAAATATCGACACCACAACATGGCATCACAAAAATATCGACACCACAACACGGTATCACAAAATATCAACATCGCAACATGATATCACACAATATCGATATACTAAGACAATATGACATAACAAAATATCAACGAGATTAACATCGACACACTCAATATATTCAGGAACAGGTTTGAGATGGAGAGCAAAAAAGTTGTTTTGATTAATTTTGTTCTGGGTCAGTTAGGCGTGAATTGGCTAAGAGGAGTTAAAAAAGGGAGTTATAACTGTCCCATCCGGACCAAGGCAAATGGCGAAAAACGCTCTCGGCAAGCTGAGGGTGTTACATCCAATACTGCTCATTCAGTTATTCCGAGTGCCGCTTTTATTGGTGCATTTCCGTCAGATGCGTCGTCATTGAAGCTTTACGACGCACTCAGCTGCTGAGGCTATATGACGTCACCTCCCTTTCAGCCCGGCAGAAAAGACGACACCGCGGGGAATCGAACCCGCACCTCTGGTTTCACAGACGCGCAGTGGTTAATGCAGATGCGTTAACCACTTCGTTGCCGCATCCTCTTTGTCAGATACGTGGAATGTCGCATGCAGAGATCTGGTATGACGCCAACAGAGGCCAATATCCTCCCACGGGCCCTGATATGACGGTTCACTGATAGGTGCCGCCCCTTGGAGCGTACGTTCATAGCGCCACTCTTTACCGGTTGCCGCACCTAGCAGGACCAGTTGCCGCATTTTGGAACCCCTGTACTCGAGTGGCAGAGGCAAAGGGATTTCTCTGCTTCGTCTTTGTCAACCCCAGAGGAACAATGCTGATGAGACTCGTCGCACAGTGCAGAGTTGCGCAGGTCGATGCGCGTACAGTTCAAGACCAGTTCTTACCACGTACGTTGAATTTGGTGTGTTCGATTATTTTCACCTTATTACGATTAGTACACTAAGAGTTTTCAATATTACATCCTCAGATATATCAGCGTTTTAGTAACCGCATCTGCAACGTTTTTCATTTTTGATCGTTTCGGACGTTTTTTCTTTATCGGCGCTTGTGCCCCACAAAAATGCAATGAATTATTTGCGCTATTGATATTCGGTAGGTCGATACTTTGCGTCTCATATTCTACGATACCCATATTTTGCGAATCAAAATTTTTAACTGTCGATACCCCACGTGCCCATATTTGACGCTCAACATTTAGCGCGCTTTTAATGTGTTCATATTGTTTATATTTGGTCCGTTTGTTTGTGTGTGGTGTGGTGTGTGTGGTGTGGTGTGGTGTGTGTGGTGTGGTGTGCGTGTGTGTGCGTGTGCGTGTGCGTGTGGTGTGTGTGCGTGTGAGGTGAGTGTGCGTGTGGTGTGCGTGTGCGTGTGGTGTGGTGTGGTGGTGTGGTGTGCGTGTGTGTGTGTGTGTGTGTGTGTGTGTGTGTGTGTGTGTGTGTGTGTGTGTGTGTGTGTGTGTGTGTGTGTGTGTGTGTGTGTGTGTGTGTGTGTGTGTGTGTGTGTGTGTGTGTGTGTGTTCGTCGTCAAGGCTAACCGTAGCTGGGCCGGGCTACCTGACCATCGGGGTAGCTGCAGCCAAACCGAACCAACTATCCGAATGACGGACCACTCGGTAGCGCCGTTGATCAATAAGCGTGAAGATGTAGGTAGGAGGTCAT